AAATTGCTCGGGACGCCGACCAAGCCAACAAGACTGAGCAAACCCCTGCGTGGAAACAAATATCACCCCAGGAGAAGGTCAACGGCCAAGAGCAAAAGAAGGCCAACGGTCAAGCACAGGAGAAGGAAAATGGCGCATCAGCTCCTCCCCCAGGCAGAAGCTACGAAATCCTTCGAAGGACAGCCAATGAAGACAATGCTGCAGCGGACGAAGAAGATGAGGAAGCTCAAGCGGCTGAAGAGAATGGACTTGTTACGGAAGACAAAGCCATTAAGCCCAAGGAAGTTGTACGAGACGTCCCTGATGGGGGTGCGCAAACGAACGGCTCTTCAGCTGCCGGCACACCTGATCTCAGTGCTGATGCGCTTGAGGGTGATGGCTGGAGTACAGTCTCAAAGCCTGAGAAGAAGAGGAAGAACGGCAACCAAGCTGCTCGTGCTATTGCCTCCTAGACGCCCAGCCCATCGATGTGAAACAGGGCTATCAACCAGATTCTTTACAGCACATGCGGAATTCTCCCATCCTCACGCTTCACCCGAAGATCTCTCCTCATCTCCATCCATTATCTCATCATTTCACAGGCGTTATGGGTCGCCACCTGACGCGCAGATGCATCGATGTATAGCTACTCGCTTTACATGGACATTCCTGGATACAGCTGGCTGTTGTGGACCACAGAGCTTATGCTCATCCCTTGACTAATCTATAAGCATGAGTGGAAAAGTTTCGCTCAGGCGTCGGATTCTTTCTTTTCAAGTCCTCAGGGGGGTTCTGTGAGCTTGCAGGAGGATTTACGACAGCGGTATTGTCATAGACATGGGGTACATGGCCTACGTTGGTCAATTTTTACATGTACACTAGATTGCAAACAGTTTTTATCAATTGCATAGACTTTCAAAGTGTGGTTTAAGGTGACTGGGTGCCAGGTGAGTTGGTGTTCAATTGCAACCAGGATTTTCTGTTGCTACATAATTGCATTCAAAAATCCAATCAGTCAACAACAAAACATACAACTCTCACCATCCAAACCATCTCCAACTCACATAACACGAACACATCTGATTTGCAAAGGCGAAAGTGAGTAGTCAACCGGGCTCTGTTCACTTTGAGCGCTGATGGTGTTGGTAGAGGAGTTCTCGTCGCAGTCACGTGATTAAGGGCTCTGAGTCTGAAACTGGACCCTGTCGATCATTGCGCAAGCGTCCGTTGGTATATGGCAGGGATGAAGGCGCATTGAATTCCATAATATCGACTTCGTATTCACCAACAGTCATTACAGCTGGGTTACAAATCCACAGACAGGAACTTCACCACGAGGAGCGTCCATCACTTGGACAATCTCTGATCCATCCATTTCTTTCCATTTGAGACTACCATGATATGTCCTCAGTAACCACAACAATACTACAATCTTCGCCTGCCGCACCAATCCCAATCACATCTTTCACCAAGACATGCCACAAATGTGGAGCTGACCTGTCTCATTCACATCCTCCAATCGCAGAAGATGCACAAAGAAGAATTGCAGAGCTTGAGACACAGGTCAAGCTATTGACTGGCAAAGCAACGGCTGCAGGTACGTTCTCTTCTTCCCGTCGGCCAACTACACAAATTGTTCGCAACAAGGCCTCTCCACTCTACATCGAATTTTGGCGCTTCAGGATGCTAAACCTTGCTCTAGTCGACAAACTCGCAGACTACGAAGATGAGCTTCGCCAGCTCAAATCATCCAATAAACCCACCTCCGACCCCAATACAAATGCCCAACCTCCATCCCGGCCCACTTCAGCGGCTGGGGCCCAGCGCAACCATCTCCAGTCTCGAATTTCTCATCTCCTCCCTTCCAATCGACGTGCCACCTCACAGCCACCGTCATCCACCCCAGCAGACCAGACAAGCCACACAAACAACCGAGAGAATGCAGAGCTCTTAACTATGCTTACACGGGAACAGTCGCTGCGAAAAGCGGCCGAATCAAGAGTCAGTCAGACAAATGAGGAGCTGGAGGAACTATCGGCACAGCTGTTTACGGAGGCCAATGAGATGGTGGCTACAGAGAGGAAAGCGAGGGCGAAGTTGGAGGAGAGGGTGGCTGTCTTGGAGGGAAGAGATAAGGAGAAGAGGACGAGGTTGGAGGTACTGGAGAGTAGGCTTGGGAGGATTGAAAGGGTGAGGGAGATGTTGAAGTAAGGCGTTCTACAGGAATTGCATTCTTGGTGTGGCAAGGAGTAACGGCTGGATACCCATCGAGTTGTTTGGTGTAATGGTTGGGGGCTTTTTATATGCATCGAAGCGTCGTGATCATATCTGTTGTGAGTGAAGAATTTCAGGCACAATGCCAAAGGAGTTGCGGTCGTATGAGTTTGGCTCCGAAAGCTCTACACCGACGAAGGGTCGAGTACCTCTTGCTGAAAGACAATCAATGGCCCAGAAGGTTCAATGCGGACGATACGATAGGCATCAAGAGCAAGTGATAGGCTAAGTTGTTCCTCGCAAAGCTGTGATCATGTTTGCTATTCTGGGTGTTCTTTCCCATCGATGGGATAATCGAGGGGTTCTTGCCGGTTCTTGTTCTATCATCGTGACCTCTTTTAAGCACTGCCTTTGGCTCTGTACTTCACTTTCCATCCCCAAACAACAACGTTTTTCACCGTCTCCTCTTTCTTTCAATCTCCCATTCCTCATCCGACTTTGCAGGACTGGAAGACGGTCACACGCCATCTGAGATTGTACCATAAGCTCCCAACATGTCCGGTGACCAGGCACACGGGCTCATCGCCCCTCCAGATCATAGAGATATTTCTGGGGAAGAGGCTTGGGCCCGAAGGTGCTCTTTGCCTGCTATTGCTCCATGGGTTCCTCAAAATGTGAAGACCGAGACAAGTCTCCCACAAGATGCCTTGTCAACACGACTTCCATCCACCCTACATGCAGTTGAAGAGGATCAACAGCCTCAGACTTCAGAAGCACATTCACTCTTGTATTCAATTTCGCAATGGCAGCCCCCATCTAACCAACCTACCGGCCAGCAACCCTCCAAACGACGAACTAAATTGGTGTCAGCCCCACGAACCAGACCACTGTCAGCTCGATTACTGGCCTCAATCCGGCAAAACAAACAGTCATCCACTCTACCACAGGGTCCCCGGCCCCCAGTCCTGCCTAGAAATCTTGGTCGTAACGAGAGGATCCCAGGAATCTACGGAAAGGACCTTCTGGATGGGAGGATAGGTATCCGCCCACGTAACAAGGAAAGCGCCGAGCTTCGGCAACTCAAAAGCTCACGGATTTCCTGTGATGAGAAAGGTACCGGTCTCTCGCGATCGATGAAGATCATCATTCAACAATTCATGGTGGCCAACGGCTATATCTGCCCCCACCTACACATACCGCATTGGGAGAAGCCCGTATTCCGGGATAGTCTGCGTGTCAGACTCGATCTGCACAACACTTTCATAACCACGAAGGAGACCCGCGATGAGCAGAGGTTAATCAAATCAGCATGGACGAGCGTTGACGGCTACATATCCGAGCAATCGAGGGAGTGGAGGGCTCAAGGTGTCTTCGAACAGGTACCAGTGACGGCTCGACCTACTTTCGCTGCCTTCACAAAGGGCTGGGCCGATCGTAATTGGGATGGTAGCACAGGGGACTTTACTCGTGCAAGGAAGTTGACGGCAATGTCGCCTGTAATGTCTGTGTCTACTGATGACGCTGACAAAGAGTCGAAACCAACGGACTCGCAAATATTTCGGGAAGCAACGCGTCAAGAGATGGTGTTGGACGGTGATACCGAGGCATCAGTTAACAGTTCCTGTGCTAGACTTGAGCCACCACTGAAGCGTTCTGGTCAAGATGGCCCCAACAATCAAGCCAAGAAACGGGCTCGCACCCGTAGCAAATATGAGTATGTCGATCACGTTCACGATGAAGGGAATGGCCTCGACTTTACTAGACCTGAGGAGAAGAGCCTCCCAACAGTCATAGAAACCATTCATCATGCCAGAGCCATGATGCTGGACCTCGCTCCCATGTCCGCCAAAAATCTTGCTGTCATGCAACAGGATTGGACATCGCATGGATTCCCGTCTCTGTTGGCTGAGATGCTGACGCTTGGACGAGCTTATACTGCAACGATGGGCAAATACTTCGACAACGCTTTGTATTTGATGTCTCTCCTGGAGGGATCAGACCATTGGAAGGCAAGTCATATGAAGGTTGAAGTGGACTGTGCTTGTCAGAAAGGAGGAGTAGCACCCGAACAATTGCAGAATGAGAGGATACCTGACCCATCAGATCCTTCTAATAGTCAAGTCAAAGTTCGGTACTCACATGAGCGAGAAGATCCAATACCTGACCGAAGTCTAGATGGGAAGGTATCTGACCGGCTGATACCTCTCGCTGGGGATATCAAAGTGGACCGCTCATCCCAGGCCCAGGGTGTCGCACCCGACCCATTGCATGTAGGAATTGCATCCAACCCGCCGGTAGTCAGGACAGAGACGGCTCAAGTCGATCATCTGGATCAGCCAACAGCTGCGACACCAGACCAAGTGCGTAACGAGGTAATGAACCCAGAAGCCGCAAGTAAGACCACCAAGAACCCCTGTACCTTGTGAGGAAATGGGCTTTTCGATTGATGGGAGCCAGGACCAAAGAGCGTTATTTGTCTCGCTCTTAGAGCTTGGGTGCCGCTTTCTCCACGCTTGTTGCTTCTACCATTGGTCGGACAACTCTTTTGGCTCCCGTTGATCTCAGGTTCTTCCGCTTTTCTTCACCTCTGATGATATTGCTCTATCGTATGTCTGTAGCCAGGGCTGGGTTCTTGGTCGATAAGTGTTGCTGCTTCTGGGAAACATTCCGCATAAGTGGCGCATGATATGAGGTTCAATTTGCTCAGAGCCTAGTAGAAGCAACCTACGTTCATTCAATCAGTAGCAAATCTCGGGGTATATGTCGTATGACGCCATTCCCATATATGCAATGATGCAGTGATCCAACTATTCCGCTCCGGCGCTCCAAAAAGACGGCACCATGCCAACACTGATGGCACTTCTAGCACCAGCAGCTATCAGCTCCACCATACCCATCGGCAGGACATGCTTCAGCAGAAGCCAGCGCATGCTTGGCTCGTCCTCATCCTTCCTCCCGTCCAATCTCTGATCCACCCACTGTCCAGCAGCCACCGGATTGCCCGTACCAACCACCTCACTGATCTCCACGACCACTCCAGTCATCGACTGCATGATAAACACCGCTTCCCGCACCACCTCTTCCTTTTCAACCTCCGTCAACGTCCCCTCGACGGCAGCGAAGCGCGCCTTGAACCCCGCCTTGAGATCCTCCCCATCCGCCTCCCCTTCAAACGTCCAGAATCCAAGACACCCATCCACCCCACCTCCCTTCCCCTCACCCGCCAGCCCTGTTCCCAGAAAACCACCCTCGGATCCCCCCTCGACCCCGCGGTGCCAGAACCCGGCTCCGGCCCCCCGCAGTCCCGCCCGTATGTACCGCCCCCCGGAGAAGAGCGCCAGGTAGAGCACCCACGTGTACGCGAGCAGGAGATGGGGCCGCCCCGGCACCGCAGCGCGGATCCGCTCCGTGAACGCCTCGAGGCGTGGCCGCCGTCCCGGATCGACCCCCCGTCCGCGCAGAACCGTCTCCACATCCCCCGTCAACCTGGCCCCCCGCTCCAACCCCCTCGCATACATCCCCCGCAACCCCTTGACCACCTCCTCTGCCGCTTCTTCCCCACCCCCCTCATCGTCGCCCCCCGCTCCAACCAAGCTCCGAAAGGGCCCCTCGAACGCCTCGTAGATCGGCAGCAGATGCGCCATCCCTTGCGCGTAGGGGCCGGGATCCGCGGCGTGCGGGGGCAGAGCGCGGGGGAGGAGGGAGAGGATGAGGGCGTTGAGGTGGGCGTGGAGGGGGCGGGTGGCGGCGTTGATGCGGTGGGAGAGGGGGAGGGGGAGGGAGAGGGGGAGGGGGAGGGAGAGGGGGGGGGGGGGGGAGGGGGAGGGTGGGCGCGGGGGGCATCGCTCGGGAAGGGGTGGAAGGATGGGGTAGGGTAGGGTAGGATATTATTAGGATATGATAAGGGGAAGGAGATTAGGGTATATAGGAATATAGGAGGAGGAGGAGGAGGAGTAATGATGATGTGTGTGATGGTAAGGACTGTGGTTGGTGGAGTGAAGGCAAAATGTAAATATGCATGTTTTTGACACGGCAGTCTCAGTGTGTATTTACCCGTATATCTCGGGCAGCGGCAGGCCCCGCAGTTGGAGGGGCCTGAACCCTGCCGAGCGGGGCTGGGGGGGATTGGCTGAATGGGCGCCATAAGCGCTTGAAGGAGGAGCTCCCGGGGGGCTGAGGGCTGTGATGGACGCAAAAGTCGCATACGAGTATCTCACGAGCGTTTGCGCTGGGCCATACCATGCGATAATATACACTTATTGATTTGTCTACCAGTATGCGTAGCTTGAGATACCGACCGATCGCTTCCCTCCATGCCACTTGCTGAAGCCGTAGCAAATGACCATCCCACACGAGCAAGCGAGCCCCCTTTGCTAACATATTGCGCCCACGATGACCCTATCCAGCCCGAGCTCAACGCTTGCTATATCAAGTGTGAAACGCTAAAAATGAATGCTACCGACCAGCCCAGTAGTGAAAGCATTAAAATTGGTTCTTCGAACATGGAGCGGTGTATGGAGACGCCTCGTAGTTGGCACGAGGAACCGGAGCTTCTAGATCACAGAATCTTCACCGTCGAGGATGGCGTCAAGTAGGACGGTTCCCCGCGAAACAATATGACTCAGGGAAAGCTGAAGTCCTCGCCGACCAGATGTGTTGCCGAGATGCTTCTGGCGTGCTCGTTGCTCTTTGGGCTTAACACGGGTTGTTCCATTCTCTCGTTGCCATACTGGACGTCAACATGAGTCGTCTTGCTGATATTGCCCATTGGGACATCCTGACTGTCGGTGCGGAAAGTATCCTCGCTGCTGGAGCCCAGGCTTGAACCTTTGCGCGCAGGAGCTGTGCTTATCATGGTAGACATCCTGGTCCTCTGCGATGGTTTCTTGCTTTCTAGCCGACCCCAGCCGTCGTACGCAGCAGGAGGCGAAGTTCGGTCTTGGGTAGTGGCTCCTATCGGAAATTTGGAGTCAGCGTCCTCCCCCACAGATGCAAGCAGGGCATGTTTGCAGAGTTTGGAGAACGTGAAGAAGAAAGTCTCGCTCCCGAATCATGTCTTGTAAGGCCAATTATGGTGCTAATTCGGAGAAAGATGCCCCTGAGTATACGCACCTCGACGTCGGGCTGCGTTCGAGCCATTGGAATAATCATCAGCGGAACCGCGAGGGAACAGGCGTGGGAAGAGGGCAGTGAGAGGACTCTTGAGCATTGGTAGACAGGCACATATGATTGCAGTGTTGGCCTCGATGGTCGTCCAAATAGTCGAGTTGAGTGTACCGTATATCTGGTCTTTAGCTTTGGATCCAGTTTTGAGGGTGGTCATCCGCAAGATAGATGTGATGCAAACGCTGACTGGCTGTCAGCATAACAAGACGTGAGTCGCTCGAGAGACCTACAAGCCACCCAAGGCGAAGACCATCACGAGACCCAACCGCTGTCGTTGAGGTAGCTGCAGGCTTCTGACAACGGGCATAGGCAGGGCAAGTATCAAGAAGTCGCCGATAATGTTCGCTGAAGCATTCGCATACCAGAAAGCCGTGAGGTTGATGCAAGTCCCAGGGACAGCATGATCCCAGATACGCTCGAGCGGCGTGCATTGTACGATCGTTGCTATGATGCTTGCGAAAGAGTACAGTATCACATAGCCCATGATAATGTGCACCGTTTGGCGGAATTTTTTGGTCGTGAAGATGCGCAGGTAGAGGAGACAGATCGAGGTCTTTGTCAGGGTGATCGTGAATTTGTACAGGATCTGAGCTGCCCAGAATGCCTAAGAACGAAAGGTGAGAAGATTGCGCCAGGGGGAAGGGCTGCTTCCGCTTGGTGTTGATTTACCTGCAAGGCCATGCGGAGGTCTTCTGGTGGAAGACTGGTCGACACCTTTCCAGCTCCGTGGGCGACGCCTATACACTGCTCAGTCTGATGGACATCACGGGAGAGCAGCCAAGTCTATCTCGACGCAGCGAGCAAAGCAGCGGCGGAGTGACTCACTGACGACATTGCTGATACCAAGACCGATTGAGAAGACCTATGGCATAGAATCAGCAAGGTCACATTCCATAGGCACATCAAGACGAGATTGAAGCTTGTACTTACCACAGAGGCAATGATGGCATAGTCATCTTCGTGCAGCTTGCGACCAGTGGTCAACCTCGAAGCCAGGCGGGAGCAAACAAGGCAGATGGCGACGAAGGTGAAGACGATGGAGATGACAGCGAGATTGACACCACGGCCATGGAGTTGGTTGTCTCGTGCGTATATGGCAGCCATCTTGCCAATCGCACTTGACTCAATTGCGCGGGGTGACCTAGGTGCTCGAAGGAAGAAGGTGCGAACCTAGGAAAAGGATATCGTTCATCAAGACGCGACGAGAGGCGCTGAAGGCTGGACGAGTATTAAGAATGGCAGAAAAGCAGTAGGGGAGATTCGTTCTTCATCGGACAGAGGTGATTTCGTCTGGGAAAGGCGGGGAGTGAGAGTTGAATGTTTCGGTTTCAATTTAGATATATCTGTCGAAAGGGCGGGTTAGCGTGAAGCGAAGCAAGGGCTTTTGCTCTCTCTACTCTGGAAAGATGAGAACCCCATCATCTCGAGACCCCGTCTACGCTTGCTTTTCAACGGCAAGAGGCAGACTTCTCAACTACCGTACACTGTTTGACATGGGACTGGTAAATTCCAATCACATTTGCGAGACATTTCGGCGTACGGGATGGTCAACGGCTGCAAAAGACAGGACAGGACAGCAAACATGAACTTGACCTATGCCTATATCATCGGCTTGGCTTTGCCCAGACCGGAGACAGTCCCTACGTGGATGTGTGACTTGGGTGACATTCTCGAGTCATCACTTGGGCAATCAATCTCGGTCCGCACCGGGTTTCCCTCACTGTTCTGTGCTTGCGTCTGTATCACTTTTCCTGCAGGTATGATGCTACTGCGCTGCACCCCGGAGACAGACCCGCTGCAGGTAGCCGCGAAGGAGACGAGGACCCATTTATCATGTCGTGTATTTGAAAACACAATGCCAATCATTTCCAAAGGAAACATGTCTGACGAACAGCAAGCAAGGTCTACGCATGCAGCTGTCGATCCTTACTTTACACCCAGGATCCACCATCACACTACACATGTCATGAGTGCAGAATCAAGCAAAGGGCAACGAAACGGCCTACGAGCAAGCGCATATCCCAAGCGTTAATGTGAGTTCATTTTGCTTGGCCAATAGACAGGGAAGGTCTTTGCTGGCAAATCATGCCCATTCCTCTTCGCTAATTATGCGACCTGGGCTACTAGCTTCTACACCACTTGTTGATCCCTAGCATTGACTTTCCTCGCCATCTATCGTCTCATCATTATCAGTAGTCCGAGGCTTTCTTGGGGAAATCTCATATCGTCGTAAGCGGTATATGAAAAGATATACACAAACATAGATACATAACGCTGTGGCCAGCTCATCATACGCCCTCTAACGTTCATCATAACGTCGTAATTCCTCACTGCCTTGCGTGGACAGCCCCAACATGCGACAATGAGGGTCAACTTTTCCAAATAATACTTTGCTGCTGTCCCGAAATCACCGTCATGGTCTCGTCGCTCCGCAATGCCATAATCATGACAGGAAACTGAGCATCTGTCTACCACCAGCCCAGGCGTATTTTCGACATTCTCGAGGCATGAATATGTTGGGCGTTGCTCAATGAGGAAGCCAATGATCTGTACTGGCACCAGGGGAGCGCCCAAGTAGAAGCGTATTCAACGTGGTGCCCTGGTGGAGGGTGTAAGTTTTGCTTGCTGAGTAGCTCCTGCCTCTTTCGGATAAGGCTGGGTCAAAAGAATCGTTGTAGTCCGGTAGACACAGGGTATGTTGCTACCCGTATGTCAAGGTGACTGGTATCACAAAAACCCGGATTCCGAAAGGAGTCTGGAAGTGCGACAACAGTCAGCCACATCCAACTGGGAAGTAAATCAGACGCCGGCTTGTTACAATGACTGTGCTGATTCGAGGAACGGTCTCCTTGTTCTTTCGAGATGTCTGAAAATGCCAAGCAGCTACCTCGACTTCCCCGAAAAAGACCTAGAACCTGTTCTTGTCTACGAGACCTAAATCCACCAACCTTGTGATTTTCTCATCCTCCCTTTCCCTTGGTTCAACCTGGAGACTCTTGTCGTACATCTCATGCACATCGCCAGCCGCTTGCATGTTGCTCAATATGTAATCCTGCAGGTCGGGCACAGATTTGAGAACGTAAGGAACGTTTTGATATTGCTGGATATCTCGAATGACGTCGGCAGTTTTGGCCCGTTTAGCAAAGTTGATGAGGTCTGTACGTTTGATTACGGAGGGTATGCCGTCTTCAATAAATGTTAGGTCGGTGAGATAGACGCCTGGTCAACGGAATTAGCCGTACTGATCATGGATACTCCGCGAATAACATACCAAAAAAAGGGATGCAAGGAGGATTCGCCAGATGCAGCGCTTCTCTGTACTCCCCAAAGTTCTTGGTACTGTGCATCAACTTTCTCATTTGTTCCAAGACCGTCATCGTTCGAGCATTGACCTGTGCCCAGGTCCGAGTGAGACGACCTATAGGAGCTGTACTAAGGGCCGAGATGATAGACGTCAAAGTCGAAAAGTTGTTCATCGCGCGGCATTTCTGAGCACATTAGTGAATGCAGTCATGGTAACACGGTGACTTGTGCTTACGTCTGCTACGGATACGAAATGCTTGATCACAACTACCCTTTTCTTCACATCTGACTGGTTCAGTATCATCTCCGCAACCCAATTTGTAAGTTGATTTGAGTGCAGTATCAAAGCTTTGACATTGGCTGCTGGCTCAGGATCGTCAGGGCCGAGCTTCCTTTGCCAGGTCTTGTTCAGGCATTCCGTTGGTTTGATTTTACCATATAACCTTGACTCGATGATTGTTAACTGTCTCGCAAATTCAGTGGGATCAATGTCCAGAAATTTGAGCTTCTTCATATTTTTCGGCATGATTGGCGTAGGCATCGAGCTGCTTTGAGTTGGGACAAGGCCTTTCGTAGGATCATGCCCCTTTAGTCTTCGCTCCACCGAAGTCATCAAAGGCCCAGACCCTGGTGTGTTGCTTGTTGCAATTGAGTCTTTCGCAAACGAGTAGACTCTTCGAAGAAGCTCATTACTGGCGTCATCATTGTTTTCCATCCAATAGCTGTCAAACCAACTTTTGAGAATGTTGACCACTCGGAACCGTATTGGCTTCTGTTTCTTCTCGACCCATGTATTGTATTCCCCTTGCGAGATTCCTGGCGGTGGCTGGATGCTAAAACGCTTGACCAGCATCTCGAAAAGCTCGGAGGCCGTAGTGAAGGATCGGTAGGTAAGGAGGAAGGTGTTGTTGAAATGCGAGTCTAGTCGGTCATGCCGGGTCAATTGTTCCACCAAGGCGATCAAGGTACCGCCGCGCAGTTGTGGTGGATTGACCTTGGTATCGTATGAGATTTCTCCTTCGTAGTCAAGTTTCAGGAACGACGGCTCTTCCTCAATGTCTCGAGGTACTTCGCCAAAGAACTTCTTAACCTTCGAATTGTTGTCCTGCTTGCGGTAGTTCTCTGCGGCTGGATCCACCCCCTCCGAATAAGAGACTGGGAAGTTCATCTCTGATATTGTAGGTCGCAACAGTCTGGAGTGATTTGGATGTGTGGAAGCTTCATAGGGCGCCCCGCCATCTGTGGTTCGGTGAGGGCGGGAGAGCTGTGCATCTCTCAGTTCCTGGTGTGTGCTTGATCCTTGTGGCATCGAGTCAAGCAGTAATTGCAAGGAGAACCCGACTTGAGAGGTGCAATTCTCTAATTGCCGTATGGTCGCGCGAACCTCATTGAGGCGTTCTTCCAACGGATCGCCCCGGCATTCGGCCCACTCATCCCCCAATGGCGCCGCCACTGCTTGGCAAGCGAGCAATAATTGCATGACGAGATCATACAGCTTTTGCTTTTGAGCCGTGAAATCGATGAGCTGTGGGTTTTGAAACGCAGTGCCCAAAGGAGACAGGTTGATTGACTCAACGGCGGAGAGCCAGGGTCGAAAGAACTCGATGACCTTTCCTGCGGCCTGACAAACCGCTGTCCCAATCTGTCTATGTCGGAAAGGTGTGATGAGCTTCTCCCTTACGAAAAGCTGATCTTCAAGGCGGCGAATATTGGCAACGATTATTCGCTTCAGCTCATCCATCTTCTCCAACAGCGTGCCATCCAAGGTTACGATAGGTTCAACATACGGCTCATAATCGTCTTGGTCCATGAATGAGGTAGCCAACAAAGGATCCTTGATTCCCAGACCGTTGTTCTGCCAGCTTCCACCATTATTGCTACCTAAGAAAAAACCTGGTACCAGTCGTGGAATATCTTCACCTCGCTGCGATCGCGCGACCTCCACGTAGTTTTCCACTCCCAACATAACTTCTTCCGCCTCTTGAAGACATTTGGTGTACGCGTCCTGTGTCGGCCAGTCTGCCGAAGCAATATGCGAAGATAAGACCAACTTTGAGAAGTGAGACATCATGTCACGGAAGTGTGGGTACAGCGCCTTGTTCGTAGAGATAATTGAAGGGTTGCCCGAATGATTGTCAGTGGTGCCTGAAGCAGCAGCGAGCAGCGTTCGAAGATGATCAGATATGTCCTCGGCTTTTCGAACGAATTCTGATCGGTCAGCATTATTGATTGCTTGTCTATAAGATTCAATAGCTTTGCGGATGTTTTCCACGAGCCTAGTCCAGGTCTGAGGTGCGGAGCTGCCGTCGTCGAAGAACGACCGTGATACAGCTGCAGCTGCAGATACCTGGCCCAACGGATTGCTGGTGAAAGATGTTGTGGTCGTACCAGTTCCTCCTGAAGACTGCTGTGTTCCGCTCAAGGCCAGATTCGTCGTCTCAAAACTCCGATTGTGCGCCATTGGCGAGGTATCGAAAGACTCTGTAGATACAGCTGGAGATATGCCATCAGAGATGTAAGAACGCCGCCGCCTTGGCCGCGAGCGCATGGAGGACTCGTCAAGTTCGGATGCCGAATCGCCAGTTTCAGATTCATCTTCATCGCATTCCAAGCCGCGCGCCATCATCTCAGGAGGAGGTCTAGTCTGATCAGGCACGTGGATGTTCATCCGATCTCTTGGGCCAGTCTCGTTGGCCGAGGTGGGTGTCTCTAGCGGGAGTTCCATTGTCGAAATGCCGGTGAGCGTATTGAAATAGTATAATCGCCCATCTGGAGTGGCTTGTGGAATCCAGAAAGCAGCC